GATCTGACATGTTGAAGTGCGAGAGAGTACACGGTGCCCTGCGTACTAGTGAGTATTCGTCCATGCCAGAGTTTTACCAGAATCATCAGCTTGAGCAGTACAAGCTGATGAGGATTTGATATCATTCATATCTGCAAGTGGCCTCCAGTGCGTCCACATCTGTGCCAACATGGATCATCAATGATCAGCGATTAGTATCGGTGGAAAAAAACGTGATCAGGGATCTAACAGTTCTATTTGCTCCCTTTTTTCTTTTGTGTCGATACGATCCGTGAGTTTTATGATCCGTTGCACCTCTAATTTCCAACGTTGTTTTCGGGCAACAAGTTGCGTGACACAAAAATAAACAGACCGGATCAGAAAAAGGTTTTATGTGTCAGAGGGGTTCTTTCCATGATGTTGTCAGACACTTATAATAACAATCTGAGCCCGTCTGTAGCAGAAAAAGAGCTCTTTTAGTGGACGTACATCGACTGCGAGGAGCTGCACCAAGAGATTACGTTACAGCACGTTGAGCAGCTGCCGTCTGCAACGTTCTCCCTAAATACTGAACCAACTGTTGTCCCCATCAGTCACTGAAACACAAAAATACCAAAGTTACCCTGTAACTTTTGGCCTTAGACACTTGTCTCTATGGGAATATGGGCTCTGCATAATTTGGCTAACATGACGGCCGGGCAAAAAAAACAAGTTGCTGTTGCAAATTGTCCTCATGGTGGTGCTTTCTAGTGAGACCAAATGTCTATTACGTACATTGATGGGCACAGATGATGCCCTTCGTAAAGACATCTAGACGGCTGTGCTGGTGGGGATGTGTTGCTTCAAGTATCGATGAGATGAAAGGAGATCTAGAAAGTTCCGTTTGAGTAACCGATCTTTGAGTCTCGATCAGAAGTAGTTGAAATACACACATAGGATTTTACAACTCGGCCGTCGTTTTATTTTACACTAGAGAGAATGCAGCTTTGAGACACTTCAGCATCGGCTTCACTCGGCAGAACCGGAGGTTGCTGACTGGCGCCAACGCAGCACTCCCATTGAAATGAATGGGTGGGTGGGTCGCATTTTTTTCACTCACAGCTGCCATATAGGCCTCACTTCCTGTTTGTTTACAGTGTGTTTTTACATCACAGCTAAAGAATGTGATTTATCAAAACATTCTTAATATCAGTTGTTATCTGCAGGAAGTCTATATAGTTTGTAAAATTGAATTTAGATAAATTTGGATTAAAAGAAAATCATTAAAATTCAAAATAGTGGAAAATGATTATGCAAAAAGGACAATCAGCACAATGAGCCACAGACACTGAGGAGGACAAGTTAAAAATAATGCAAATACCTCAAGCTGACCTATTTGTGTACTTGTACTTGAAATTGCATAACACTCAATACCTGACTTTCAGTGGAGACTCGAGAGTAATCGCTGACTACTTTGTTCTGCTTTTTGGTTTTATTGACTTTGTTTGGATGCAGAGATTCTGTCTGTGAAAACTTTTATGGAGTGGAAGGAACACACACACGCACACACACACACACACACACACACACCAGGCTTCTGTGCCTCCAGCTCTGCAACCTGTGGGGAAAAAACAAGCTAAATGTGCTGATTATAGCTCTTGTTAAAAGCCACAGATATTCATGAGTGTGCTCTACCAGCTGATGATAATAGACTGGATGTAAAGGGTCCATTAGAGTAATATAATAATAATTAATAGTAATATATTAGTAATATTAGAATGCACAGAGGTCCGGGGTTTAATTATCCAACTGTATCAAACTGTTATCTTAAATTATCTTTCTGCTTCTTCTTATAAACTAATAAATCAAACCTTTTTTTGTGTTGTGCAATTCAAACTATTGTTTTTGTCATGAATACTTTCTCACAGAACAAGAATTACGCAGTGTTATTTGGGAATGAGCTTGTTGTTTTCGGTGTTTTTTAGCTTTCACACCACGAATAAAGGCCGCGACCAGTCACGTTGTGTGTAACGAACGTGTTCAAAACGTGCACTATAAATAGTGCACAATAACACAGAGGCCAACTCTGTTACTCCTGGACACAGGCAGCACAGACCAGAGAGATGCACTGCTTCTGTTCTTACCTTTCACAATAAAAGCCCTGTAGGCATCCTGATGGATCCTGAGGGTTGGTCCTCTGCCTGTGTGAAACATACTTTTTGGGACCTTTTTATTGATAAAGTATTGCAACTTTGCACCACTGCTTAGCTTTAAATTCACATTTGCCTTGTGGTTTATTTGTCACGTCGTATTTTAGTATAGTGAAATACACATTAAAATGTTCAAACAAGTCTTTAAACTGACTAAGAATGACTTTAAAAACCAACGTATTGAGAATAAGGCTGGCAACAAAGTGACTTGCAGGACTGCAAATGTGCCATCCGTGTCATAGTGGTCAGAAGCAGCGATACTTTAATTTAATTAAGCTCACAGCAGGAGTGATTATTGTGAGTGTGTGTGTGTGTGTGTGTGTGTGTGTGTGTGTGTGTGTGCGCGCTCTTGGGTCGCAGAGGAATAGGAACATAGCGCTAGAACAAACTAGCAAATTGCACACACACACCTCCCAAAGTGGCAGAGTCAACAGAACAGCACCGCTTCATGTCTGTGTGTGTTCAGCTTGACGATGCGCCTCAATTAGCACGAGGTGTGAACCCGCGCACGGAGGGAGATAAAGCGCGTGAAAGGTGCTGCGTGATTGTGCCACTGAATGGATGAAAGCTCTCAGAATCATGGAGTCCTTTATGTTGCGTGTGTGTGTACCTGAGCCTCTTCTCTGTACCGCCGCTGAAGGTTTTCCTGCCAACAGCAGAAGTCTGCTTTTTCTCACTAAATGAGAAATCAGCAGGGAACGCTACAGTGACCTGTAGATTCATTTAAAACCCATATCCTTAAGCGCAGGTTTAAAAGTCTCCAAGAACCAGACCCCGCTAGAAAACAGATCCATTAACCAAAGAGAACTGTGTTTGGTTAACTGAAGAATACAGAAAAAACACCTCCAATTACGCAGGCGTCTGCCTTTTTTAAGGAGGAATATTTCACCATCACAACGTTGTAAAACAGTAGGAAGGGATTAGAAGAAACCAAAACAACTCGGCGTTAAATGAGCCTGGCAAATCCTGGTGACACTTAATGAGAACCATATTTAGACTTTTAGAAAGGAAACATATTCCAGCGGGCGAAATGCGTGCTTTTATTTTGAAAAATCCCTGCGAGTGAGTTCAACTGCTTTATTTTTACATATTGTCAAAAAAGGAAAATAAGTGATTCAATCTGTATTGCTGCTTTAAAATTCAGTCTTGTGTATCTGGTGCTTGTTTTAAGAGGTTTGTATGTAACGTGTGTGTGAGTCGTTTACACGTGAATGCACTGGATTGATCTGTCACATGCTTTTTTGGGGGGGGGGGGGGGGGGGGGCGATGGTTTATGATCGGTGCTGGTCAGATGAAAAATTAGAGGGGTGACATTTTCCAGACATTTCGCCATCACTTACCGGTGAAACTAAATGAGTCGCTGGAGCGCGTGTGTGAATTAGCTCATTGAAAAAATAAAACAGAAGATGCATTTATCTCGGATGGTTTATGGCTGATGCAGCAGCTGGCTAACTTCTTCCATTAAATTAATTTTTTCAAAGCATGATTCCCTGAGCACGAGCTTAGACAGGTTTTTGCAAAATGACTTTCCATGGCCGCTGCTTAGTGAACGTGTTTATTTGGGAGCTAATTTGGCTTGGCCTCGTGGAGAGGCAGAGATGTTGTCCCTCATGAGTTCAACATATACGCAGTAAAACACACTGCAAAAAAATGCACTTAACAGGTAATTTCATGTCATAGTCGAGCTGTAAATTGTGTCTGTCCAAAGAAAACCACTAAAGTTCTGCTAATTGGGTGATATGATTCAGCTTGGTTTATGTGCGTGTTCTTTCAACATCTTTAATAAAGACAACCCAGCGGGTTTCTCAACTTTCAGGAAAGAAAATTACACTTAAATCAAGAAATTAGTGAGGAAATTAAAATATTGCCTAAACAGCAGTCCCACGCTGCCTGACAGCATCACGTGTTCTGTATCAACTCGTTTCAGCTCTTTATTAGAGCTTTATCATATTATTTTACTAAGTGAAACCTTCATAAACCAATAATTTAACGGCACTGTTTCATCAAACAGACATGTTCTACATGTCTTTGTGACTCATTTTATGCACAATACAAAAATCCAACCCAACGTATTTGGTCTCGTTGTAAGCTTTAGAATTTAAGATCAAGTTTAGTGGTTCTTGAGAAACTTTAGGCTGCAGAGCTCGAGTTAGAAATGACCCACCCACGGTCTGAATGCTGCTGCTTAATAATATAACATGTGAGAGTAAATGAAGTTATTGAGGAAAGAATATTTCTTCTTTATTTAGAAAATAAACGTCTGAACTGACATGACCCTCTTTGAGCAAATGCTTAAGTTTAAAAACATTTAAAATGGTATGTGCATCACAGTGATGCTTTATTTAGAGAGATATGAATGTATTAGTAAAGCACAGATTTTGCCATCTGTGGCGGAAGATCAAAATCTGAAGTGGTGAAAGAAATATTCTCATCCTTAAGATAAAGTAACTGCACTAGCAGTCAAATAAGTGTAGTGTAAAACCATAAAGTATCATTAGTCTTTGTAGTTCTGGATGTTCTGGAAGCTTTGGTTGCTTTGTAATGAAGCTCCAGCAGAAGCATTCCCCAGAGGAACGACCATCATTCCCACTGTGAGGCTTATTTAAGGACGTCTGGAAAACCGACAGGGGGCGACTCCTCTCGCTGTACCCCCCCCTCTCAGTGCGGTGGAAGAAGGAGGTATTGGGGATCTCCTCCTAGACAACAAACCCACATTCAAAGAGAGGCACGCGAATTACGTCACGCTCCGTGTGGAGGATATAACGGAGGTCGCGGTCGCGCTCAGCGCTTCAGATGAGACATTAAGAGGGGAGCATCATGCCGAGCCTGCGCGCACGGAGCCCGAGGAGAGATCTGAGCTTTGTCACGCAGTTAGTCATAAATAAATAGTTTCCCACCGATGCTGCTGCGGGTGAACTTTTTTATTTGTGAGACGGATTTTCATCATGGGAAACTGAATTTGAAAGGAGACGCAGGTTTTGGATACGGCTCACGCGTAATTGCGCACAAGAAAGTGTCCGTTTAGCAGCTCCCCGCGCGCACCGATCTCTCCGCTGGACCGCCTGGACATGGATCAGACCCAGCAGTGTGTGGCCATGTATCTGCTGGTGCTCTCGCTCGGACTCCTCACGGAGAGGGGGGTCTGTCAGCACTACTACCTTCTCCGCCCCATCCCGAGTGACAGTCTGCCGCTGGTGGAATTAAAGGAGGACCCAGACCCCGTCTTCGACCCCAGGGAGCGGGACCTTAACGAGACGGAGCTGAAGAGCGTCTTGGGGGACTTTGACAGCCGCTATTTGTCCGTTTTGCCGCCCGTGGAGGACAGGTACACCGGGAACGACGAGCTCGATGACTTTGAGGTGCAGAAGCCCGGTGGAGTACTCCCGAAAGAAATCCGAGCGGTGGACTTCGACGTCCAGTTCGGCAAGAAGCACAAGCCCAGTAAGAAACTGAAGAGGCGGCTGCAGCAGTGGCTGTGGGCGTACTCGTTCTGCCCGGTCCTGTACACGTGGACCGACTTGGGGACCAGGTTCTGGCCGCGGTTCGTGCGCGTGGGCAGCTGCCTCAGCAAGAGGTCGTGTTCGGTTCCGGAGGGGATGGTGTGTAAACCCGCGAACTCGACCCACCTGACGATACTGAGATGGAGATGCGTGCAGAGGAAAGGGGGACTCAAATGCGCCTGGATACCGGTGCAGTACCCGATCATCACAGACTGCAAATGCTCCTGTTCAAGTTAGAAAAAAAGAAAAAAAGACTGAATAATAAATTATAAGCTCATTCATTTTGTGATTCTTTTTTTTTTGTTTTTCACGTGCACTACCGAGTGTAGGAATGTATTTTCTGTATATGTGGTGCCATGCAGCTCTATATAGCTCCCTGTACAAAGTCAGTATTATTTGTAACCAGAGCCTACTTTATTTGTGGAGATTATTGGTTATATATTTTGTATTTATGGAGATATGGTGCATAGAGCCACGTAAGGACTTGCTGTTTTTTCCATATTTGGAGTAAAGCAGATCGACCTCAAGAGTTAAAACGTGGATTATTGATACGTGTTTTATCCTGTAAATTAAGGAAATGTGCTATTTATTCTTTATATTCGTACAATAAAACAACACTGAAATGACTTTTAAATGCTTTTCTCTTCCTTCTCTCCATCACTTCTACCTGGTTGAGTAACTTTAAGTCAGTGTTCGCAATGTGAAGTCCTCCAGTTCACACCGCTTAACGCATAAAACACTTTAAACAATCGTGCATATCCTGCACCATGGTGTCTTCTTTTACCCAATATTATACATTCCATCTGGTAACACTTGTATTTACAGACACAAAGGAGGATCTGGTGATGAACTGTTGGTAACTGTAGATATGTCTGCTGGATATTGGTTATATTACACAATATCAATGTTTGATTAACAGACAGCATGTGGTCAATAGCTCTCTCCAGGCCTCCAGTTAAAACCAACACTATCTTATCTCTGTGAAAGTGTCGGCCGTACGTCAGAGCCCCGGTTCATGCTGATAAAGGAAGCAGCAGAGATTCACTGATTGAAGGAATCAGCAGCTGCTAACAGCTCTCATTCTTTTCATGTGCTCAGCCTCCTCCTCCCCATTTGCAGCCCAGCAGGAGCTGAGCTGAAGAGAGGAGCTGGGTTTCTCACTGGGAGAGGTGGAGGCTGATGCTCCACAAGCCTCTCCTACCGAGTCTCTGCACCCATTCAAACATGAATCGGTTAGAAAAACACAACGTTTTAGGCTTCTTATTGAGCTGGTGGGTCTGTGCCGTGGGGGAAAAGGGCAGATACAAACTCAAAATCAAAAAATGAAGAAGATCAACAAGTGATCCATTGAAATGGAACAATGAGCATGAGCAAAATGACAAACGCTCCTGAATGTAAGTTAAAGTAAAAGTACACAAGTATTATCGGCAAAATAGCCTTAAAGGATCAAAAGTAGCATGTCCCCTGTTAGTGATATGGTATTAATGGATATGTCTTATGTCACATGAATGTGTGAGCATCATTTTAATAGTTGTAGCTGGAGGAGGTGATAACTGCTTAATATAGGGTAGTTGAACATATAGCAGTGCATCATCTTTTATGAATGATCATTCATATTTTACATGCAAGAGCAAAAACTTATGAAGTGGTGACGATAGCTGTCAGCTGAATATAGTGGAGTCAAAAAATACCAAAGTTTAAATGTAGCGGAGTAATGTATAAAGGAGCAGAACATGGACTTAAGTAGAAGTATTGTGCTTGTTTATATAGTTATTATTGTAATAAATAATAAGTGTCTATTAATATAATGTCTGTTCAACAGTTAAGTACATTTCTGCTATTAATACTTATCACTTTAACGATTTGAAATGTGTTTTTGTGAAGTGATGGATCTGAAAGCGTCTTTAAACCTCCGTGTCATCATTGTTTGCTTCCTCTCGTTTTACTCCCACCACATAATAACCATTTCTACTGACTCTGGATCTGACGATGCCAGTTAATCTCTTGAACTCCTGCATCAAGTCACTTATAAATGTAGAGAAAAGTAAAGCAAATGCACATTCTTTAACAGCTGCACCGTCGCATCAAAAGGAAATATTGTACATGTCTTATGCGTTATTTTTATTAGCAATTACCCATAATTCAAACTGACATTTTTGGAAACTTTTTTTTGGAGAAACTAAAGTAAACTACTGCGTGTTTCAACAGAGTTTTTAAAGATGGAGCCGCTGGTGGGGTCATGAAGGATCGAAGCAGTAAAACAAATGAGTTTCTCTAATCGTCACAGTTTTGCAGAGCTGCTCCTCTCTCTCTCTCTCTCTCTCTCTCTCTCTCTCTCTCTCTCTCTCTCTGACTGAAGACAACTCTCCCCCCTCCTCCCTCTGGTCCTCCCCTGCCTCAGTGGGGTAGACTGTGGGGCACCAGAGAGCCTGTGTTTTGTTTCACTTGTGTTTAGTCCGTAATGATGCTCCTCAGCCTCAGAGCCAGCTCCGCACGTATACGCATGCGGCGGACAAATCTCCCGTACTTGTCACCGGATAGCAACGTAAGGGCGAAGAAACACAATAAATAGCTCCTTCGATGTGTGTGTGTGTGTGTCGGACCCCTCGCATTTGACAGTGATCCTCTTTGTCTTCTCCATGATACCGTTTGTCCCGTTGCATAAAGCTGGTGATGGTCGGGCTTCACAGCTCCGTGGATGTCCACCTATTTCAGGTTTTAAGCGTCACAGTCGGGGGCGTTAAAGGATTAAAGGCCAGTCGGTCAGCAGCTGCCCCGTACAAATACACATCTTATACCTTCTACTGTATATTCTACTTTAGTAAAAGGTGTGTTTCTATCTCCTCGTGTACTCGGCTCTCTGTCGATATCTGCTCTGTGACTACAGTCGAGGCTTTGCTTCCTTTGCTTCTCATCACTCGTAAGAAACACAAGTTATTTTCCTCTTCAACTTTCTCTCCACCTCTTTACTGCTGTAAGCGTGGGCAAAGTGCCGCCGGCGGCCATTTGATTTGTGGTTGGAGTAACACGTGTTGACAGAGCGCTCGGTGGCTGCTAATACCAGCTGCAGACGAGGAGGATGCAGAGGCCGCTAATGCCCTTCGTCACTCCTGAGCCTCGGCTCTCTGCGGACGGCCTCGGCTGATCCGCAGATCCCCGTCGGTCTGAGATGCCCGACGACGTAATGCTTTTAGCCAACCGGTGATCCTTTAACTTAATGATCTGTTTGGGTCTGGGCTCCTCTTATTTCCCCCCCCCCCCCCCAACCTAATCAACTTTCTTTCTTTGTTTTTCCACCGAGATATTCTGAGGCCAAAACCTTGTTGCTGATTAGATTCTCCTACAGGGTTCAGATGTTTTCCTGATCAAAGCAAACTTCTCCTTGTTAGTCTTTGCCAACAATATCAAACATAATTTAGTTTGGGTTTTTTCATTACAGATGATACAATTTCTTTGAATAACTTTGGCTCGTTAATAGGCCGAAGGTATAGAGCCTTATAGGGGCGCCTTCGTTAAGAAAACACTTTGTGAGAGTCAGACTGGTGAGGGATGTTTATTCGATGGAAAGGACAAAGATGATTTGTTGTTCCAAAGAAAAAAGTCTTTCCAAACATCATGCTGAGCAGAAAAAGCTTCATTCAGACTTTCTAAAGATACCACGTCCAGCTTAATTAGTGGGAAATGTGTGTTAAATCAATATCAAACTATACCAGACATGACACACTTCCCTCATGTTGAAATGACAGACATTAAAACTGTTGCTCACCAACTTTTTCCCGACCTAAAATTAAAGAAAATAAACTCTATTAAACTCATAATAACCGTCATTGTATTGATTTATGTATTTGTCTTAAAAGTTCAAAGCTACACAACAACTGCTGCTGCTGAGGAAAATGTTTTTAATTCTCCTGATTTCATATCATCAACCCTCCAAAAGTCCAAACCAGAATGTATTGATAAAGCCAGTAGGATTATATTTATTTGATTGGTTGAAGCTTTTCTTTGGTGGACGAATTTTTAGACATTATTAGAATATTCTAGATTCAAATTTAGCACCCTAAGAACTGTCTATTGTGTTCCTGCATTGATATAAAATAAATATGAATAGAGGTATTGGCCGAGCATGTTGGACTTCGTGACTCCTGGTTATAAAAGCTTTTTTTATTCAGTTTTAAATCGGGTGAACTGAGATCCTTTCTGACCTATTTTAACGTCCATTTCATGATTAGCATGTCAGTGAAGACAAATGCTGCTTTAATGACCGGAGTGATTTGTCTGCGTACATCTGTCAGTAGCACCAAATATATAAAGTAGCTGCTGTCCAGATGTCCGGCTGGTGAAGAACGTCCCTGAATGAATGCAGGTGTTCGCTCCCGGAGGAACAGCTGTTTCTGTCCATCACATGGCTCAGATATGAACCAACCCAATCTTTTTAGTTTATTGTCAGATAGAAAGGTTTTATGCTCGTGCTCCTGGGTGTTCTGGTGCTAATAGCAACCACCACCAACTCTCGGTTTGGAGTCACTGATGGGATCGGCCCAAAAATGTAAAAGGGAGCAAATATAGCTTTTAGATCCCTGATCACGTTGTTTTTCCTGCTGATACTAACTGCTGATCATTGATGATCCATGTTGGTAGATACAGTTCACTTTGTTGTTTGATTCCAGCTGCTCCACAAGACTACAGGCTATTTTTTTTGCAACCTTCCCAAAAATCATTTCCACCGCTCTGAAGTCAGTAAACCATCAAACATTCTAAATGTTATACTTTTACTTTATGTTCTCTAATATCCATTTATGTCTCCGTCAAACAACTGGATTTATTCAAGTTTCTCACCAAAACTACATTTTACGAGATCACATGTGAACACATCACGATAACGTTATAATTTACCTTCACCCAATACTCATCTTCACTGAGCAGAGCCTGAACGCATCATAATAATCGTAACTGAACAGATACAAACTCAGGTCTGAAGAAATCCTTTTTAAAATCCCGTTGATATCTATTAAAACGTTTGTGGGACAAACTCCTTAATGGAGAAAATGAAAAGGAGAAAGTCCTTCTGGGTTTTCATTTCAGTACCTTTCAATATGTTTAATACCGTGGCTTTTTAGTAGTCATTCTTTCCTTTAACCAGAGTTCTGTCTGGAGTTGTTTTTAAAATAAAAGTATGAATGTAATTTGTTAAATGAAGTTCCAGAAATCAGTGAGCACTGAATACGAGAAGCGTTCGTCGCCCCGCCTGAGCAGTCTGTTTGTGTGCAGTCCTTCTCTGAAAGGCAGACACGTCCTGTCAAAAGTTTTATTTGTTTGGTAAAGGATGCTGTTTGGCATGCGGCCCAGTTCATTGTGCTCTCCCACACATCGGATAATTGGAGGGCTTTTGAAATATCCTCTCTGCTGCCGCTGCTGCTGCTGCTGCTGCTGGTCACGATGTTCAAACTGGGATGCGTGGCAAGGTTGATGTTGATGTTTCCAGCATTTTTTTTTTTGTCCACTGTAAATTTCACCGAGCTGGTTTTGATGACTTGTGGGGAGTGATCCTGCTGTTTGATGTCCAGAGCTCGTTAATCCAAACCTCATCTGGTATGCAA